CCCCCATCACTTTTCTGATGGTCCGTCCCTAATAATGCTTGTGTGCACTGTTGCAAGCGGCATTATCACAGAGACATTATTTTAATAATGCTGTGTGGACGCTGCATTATTTTTAATAATGCTGTGTGCTATTTTATCCCGTATAAACATTTACCCCTGGGAATTTCCCTGCAATCAAAAAAGACCGCTCCCGTTTTTTTAGAAGAATGCTAAAAGTTCTCGACATTCGCTGATATCATGCAGGGAGAAAACAAAAGGTTTGACGAGGGTCAGTAATTATTCTTTGCGGATATTTGGGACTTTCCCTCTGGTGAAAAAAATCCTGCGTACGGCCCTGTTTTAAATTTAGGATGCATGTTTATCTCACAAGCTTTTACGGATATACTACGGACCAGGGAAAGTTGTATGTACGTATCTTGCAAATAATTCCCATATTATAATTTATGAGAATTCAGCATTTTGCGGTGATCATTTTTCAATCGGGTCAGAAACGCACATGTCGGGTCCGAGTCGAATCTTTTGGGAATGCTGCCATCCTCGTTCCCAGGGCTTCTCGGCTGCCTTACGGCCATAGATTAGGAAATGAATAGATGGCTCACTCCTTTGATGTTTTTGACGCTGCCGGCACCCACGCATGTTCTTGCCAGAGTAATGGCGGCCTAGCAAGTAACTGTAGTAAAATGCATTGTGAAATTGACATCGGTGCTACTAAATCCTGTATTTTTATAATTCTGATTTATTTTTCCATTCAAACCCCCGAAAGCGGAAAAATACAGGATTTAGTAGCGCGGATGTCAATTTCACAATACATTTTATTATAGTTCTTGCTAGGCCGCCATTACTCTGGCAAGAACATGCGTGGGTGCCAGCAGCGTCAAAAACATCAAAGGAGTGAGCCATCTATTCATTTCCTAATCTATGCTTACGGCAACACAGGCAGCCGAGAAACCCTGGGAACGAGGATGGAATGCTGCCTTCAGTTGAGTAATTTTTCGTATCGGGACTCGAGTTAGTAACTCCAGTCCGAGTCAATGACTCGGCCTGTTACAACACTGCTTAGTTTAATCATGGATAATAAAATAAATGGATAGGAAACTAGCTGACGTGACCTAATGTTTTCAAGGGGCTGATGGCGTGGTTGGATGTCCCAACCTAGTTGAAAACCAAATTCTCAAAAACGGCATGTTTAGCAATAATACAGCTAAACATTTTAGTCAAAGAGCAAATAAATATAACCATGCCATTATACGATGAAAACTCTAAGTATTCTCAGTCAATTTTAGAAAGTATTTCAATAGCACTAAACAGTGAAAAATACATCGCAAATTTCGTTAAAATTTGTGACGCCAATTTCGTAGCTACAAATGTAAAAAATACAAAACAAAGACGAGAAACATTTACCTTGAACATTTTGTCTTGGCTTAGGCATGTTTTTAAAACAATTAGACCAGTTTATGCTTCAATATCACCCTTTTAAAGTGGAAAATATAGCAAAACAACAAAAATGCCGAGAACTTTGGTAACAATCGCAATACGCGTGACGTCACGTTTTTCAACAAGGATGCAGTCAATGACGTCAGAAGTTTCCTATCCAGTTATTTTACAATCCATGGTTTAATTTAACAGAGGAAGTCTGAAAACAACTTAATTTTAGCAATAAGGGCCCTCAGCTTTATTAGTTGTACATCTAACCATCGTGTAAGACTGCTTTGTTAATAATTTATAGGAATTTGCATGCACGTACAGCCTTCTTCTTCCTCTTGATTTTTTCTAAGCTTCGATCCCACGGAAATATTATCCCCATACATTTCCTAATAAAGTTTTCATTGAAGTTCATATTGTCCACATGACTCATTGTTCTTCTTATAAGTGTAATGGCCAGAAAGATCAGAGTAATATCAAATATAGACTTGGTTCCAATCCGTCTCTCAAGGGGTTGAAACTAGCGATGCACGCGAGCGGTCGAAAAAGGCGCGAAAATATGAGAGAAAAGTAGGAAGAGACGGACTTGGATACCCTGCAAGCGCGCCAAATTTTACCGTCAGATTTTTCCTACGGAGGCGTGTCTTGCGAGTTGAGAATAACAACAAATTTTCGCGCCAATTTTTGCAAGTAATATTGCGAAATGCTGCAAATGTCCCAACTCCGTCTCTGCCTAGTTTTCTCCTGAGACGGACTTGAACCAAGTCTATATCAAATAATGAGTCCAATTCCGAGTCAATGACTCGAAGTCTGAGTCAATGACTCGATCCGTCTGAAAACAACTTAATTTTAGCAATAAGGGCCCTCAGCTTCATTAATTGTATATCTAACCATAATTTGAGACTTCTTCGTTAATAATTTATAGGAATTTGCAAGCACCGTACGGCCTTCTTCTTTTTCTTCATTTCTCGAAAGCTTTTAATTAACACAATTGTCATCATGAGAGGTCGCACAAACAAAGTTTCACAACAACCAAAGTTATTTCGAAACACATGCATGCACTAATCCAGACAAGGTATGTGGAAGCCATACCGACTGCATTGAATAGACTGGGTCTACTAGTACTTGCAAGGCGATTCATTGGTAGCAGTCTATTTCCACATCAAAATATCTTGGCAATTATCGTAGCGGGATCGGAGATTCTGGAACAGATCATGGCAATTCTTGCTTTTAACAAAATCAATGTCAATCCAAGTAAAGCTTAGTTTGAATAAATACAGGATAAAAGATATATTTATTTAATGGCTGTCCTTTCAAAACTAAAACTGAAAACGTGACATTACACATATTACGATTTCGAAGCAAGACATTTACAATGCAATCATAAAAAAATGGTGTGAAATTTCGTTGCATAAGCACTTAAAAGATCAGGTAAGTATCTGTAAAAACATATCTTTGTTCTTTGCAATTATTGCAATTATTATAATAGGTACCTAATACATACTTTGATATCCGGATGCAGATACGATTGTTCGCAGTCATTAGACAGCGATATATATTCACTATACTCGGTGGTATCTTTCTGGAATACACGCATAGCTTCAAAATCATTTTATATTCTTCATGTTGTATACTATACGCAGGTGCATAAATAGAAGCTGAAGAAATATTCCAACCATATCAGTGCTATAGGTAAGTAGTTAGTTCCTAGTATTTTCACATCGACATGTTCACTAAACATCATTGAACCGCCAGTGAAACATAATTATTCATCGCCTCATGAAATCTACTACATACCTCGAAAACAATTTCTGTCCTGTTATACTTTTATGCATAGACAAAACGACTTGAGACGTGACAAACGTTCTGCGTGTAGATGAAGGGATGAATTCGTTCTCCGGTGTTTAGAATATTCCTGGCCTCTTCAAACGAACGGCCAAATTAACTTAAGCAATATTAACAGCAACCCGTGAAGAATTTATGTTTGCCCTTCAAAGATGATTCTGAGAGCTATTCTCCAATTAAACAACAATTTGTATTAACGCCTCCCTCCCTCTCTCTTTCTCTTAAAAAACTCCAGAAACACTCCTGTCGCTCCTTAATTCTTTTTGGAAGATGATTTTCCCACGCGTCGCCATGAACGAATCATAGACAATTATCATATTAATTAAGTTAACATTTCAGTTTACTTATAGTTCAATGGATCAAA